CCCCGTTGGGGCGCTCGTCTACCGGAGGACCAACTGTGGCCCGTGCCCCAGCAGACGTGACTTTTGTGAAATGGTTGAGGGAAAAGTTGAGGGTGTAGGGTTTAGGGTAGCAGGCGTGATTCTTGTCAAAGCGCTTAGGGAAAAGTTGAGGGTTTAGGGCTAGGGGAGCAGGCGTGATCTTTGGTAAGGGGTTTAGGGAAGAGGTTTAGGGTTTATGGTGCTTGTTACTAGAGATTGTGTGTATATAAACATGTTTTTCCTAAATGGTGGACGTGGTAAGGGGTTCGGTTACCCCGATTTGGGTTCCCTCGGTTACAGAACCTCTCAGCAAGTGATTGATCCTAGCCCTCAGCCTTTGAAAGCCCTCCACCCCCTAAACCCTCAACCCTAAATCCTCAACCCTAAACCCGAAACCCTCAACACTAAACCCTGAACCTGGGCCCCTCAGCCCCCGTCATTGGTAGGATGCAAGTGTTTTGCGTTCTTCTCTGAGGTTTTGGCAGGTATCACCCTTATAGAATCCTGTGAGGGGCCCTTATAGTAAGCCTTATCGTATCACTTATAGTACCCTAAGCAGCGGCCGGTATCAAGACGACATCAAGGGGTCCGGTCAAGGTTCTAAGATGTTTACAGCTTAGGGCTTGGGGTTTAGGACTTAGGGTTTAATGGTTTAGGGTTTAGGGACTTCTGAAGTGTAGGGTAAGTGCAGGGGTGCTTACTGAGGGTCTTTTGAGGTTTGGCCAGCCAAGTTTAGGCTTCATGCGTCCAAATCCAGAAACCTTACCACTCTTAAGAATCTCAGATGCCCCAGCCCCCACTCGGCCGACCCCGGATAACCGCTTCTGGGCTAAGAGTCCTGGGGGTAGATTTTAGGGGTTGAGGAGAGAGAGGAGAGAGAGAGAGAGAGAGATATATATATATATATATCTATATATATATATATAGGGCTCAGAACACCAGCTGGATTGCTGTAGCCCCAAGCACTTAAAGAGTGCGCCTTTTTACTTCTTTCCTGCCTGGAAAGATTCCGCCATATCCGGCATCTCCGAGCTGGCATAGAAGGCTTCGGAAAAGAAGATCGAAGGCTCGCGCGCTTTTGCGTCAGGGCATTCTACCTTCCAGCTGGGATACTTCATTACTGCTTTCTCACCACGCTACAAACAGGCAGCAGAGGGATTCACTGCTTGATTTTCGTATGGGAAAACAAGGATGGAGAAAAGATCAAGGAACAGAGCAGCGTGCGCAGCTCTGGCGTGGATCCTGGGGGGATGCACGCTCTCCGCAGCAGCCGAAGCCACCATGGCGTGGAACAAGCCAGACAGCATTTCCGGCTTACGATGCGAAGCCAGTCCCTACTGCTGGACAGGCTGGCCGCCAGCAACCGGCCGCTGCACAGGAAGACGAAGAAAGTATCGTCCTCAGCCTGCAGAAGCTTCTGAATCAGGCACGGAAAGCGGAACAGAAGGTCAAGAAGTTGTTGGTGGAACGAGACACCTCCAAGTCCCAATGGCTCCAATACGAGAAGGACTGCCGAATAGCATATACCAAGGAAAAGAAGCGGCACCTTGCTGCACTGGATCAGTATGCCAAAGATTTGGACGCTGCCTTGGAAGCCCAGGCCGAAGCGCGCATGCGCGTCAGAATGGGACAGAACTTGGCATATGCGCAAGAAGTCCCCATGGAAACGGAGGAAGTGGAGGACGATGGCTGGGATGCTCTTACTGCACAATGGGAAGCAGAAGACAAGAAAGATTTGGGCGGTGTATTACAACGTGCCATGGCACCGCCACCTACGGAAGCACTTGTGGTAGCGCGAACGCCAAAGACCACAAGGCAGGCCGCAGCTCGATCTCCTGTACCGGCAGGGGGACAACACAGCGAGGCGGGCTACGCTTGCCCAGCTTTCGACGATCCGTACAACCCTGCCGGCTCACCTCCAGGACCTGCGAGACCAGCGCCTGCAGTGGCTACCTCAGCTACGACGAACTCAGAGATCTCGCCAAGCCATCATGGCAAGAGATCTCCGGCTCTACGCCCTGGACAGCGAGACCCTGGGGCGGTAAGAGTTCCTACAGTCGATGCTGCGCCTCGACAAGATGTCAAGACAGCGACGATGCAGCCACCAGCAAAGGCAGCTCGCCTTGGCAATCTCGAGGAGAAGCTCGCGGCGGCCAGGGCTTCAGCCCTCAAGCCATTTGGTGGACCTCAAGCGGGACTACCTCAGGTCGAAGCACCAACGCCGACCCAAGCGAGGCCAGCAGTCATCGACGACGATCCGGACCTAGAAGGCATCCATCGAATGGAGTGACTGAGGCAGGACTTCCACAACCAAGCCAGCCTTTGAGCCATGGGCTTCTTGAGGAACCAGGGTGCTCAGGGGTTGGAACGTGTTGTGCGAGGTCCCAGACCAGTACTTTGTACAAAGCTCTTCTTTCTTGTATATCATTGAGAAAGCGCTGGAAGGGATCCAGCAACGGAGCTTGTACAGTTCTTTCAGACACTGCTTGGGCAGGAGATCTCATAACTAAATCAGCCCCTTTTCAGGTCTGTGCTGACATCCGGCCCTGCCGGCTTCTTTCCTCGATCGACAACCTTCCTGCTTGGATTTATCAGGATGGTTTTTTCGATCCCCGCCATTGCACATTTTGCTCACAGTGCCAATGCGCAGTAACCTTTTCCTTGTCATCACCCTACGGTGGACTTAGGCACTCCTCGCAGTACCCGTTTGGATTTTGGGTCGTCCCTGACGTCCCCTGTGTCCTTCCGGCCCTTTCCTTTAGGTACAGTGGCGCGCCGAAAAGACAAATCGGTGGCTCTGGGTTGTCTGCCCACTGTTTACCTGCAATTCTGCCAAGTGAAGTCCCCCTGAGCAGGGTCTTCTTCAATTTCAGGGAATGGTCTCCCAGTCCTGCCATTCGTTTCGTTTGTGCAGTCAAACCTGGCTTTTTAGCCATTTGTCTTAGATCTCCCTTTACCCCGAGGGCGCTAAATACGTGCATCGGTAGCTCAGGGGCACGAGCCTCGGGGTCCGGGGAGTTTTCTGCCAGACGCGCCAGCGAAGGTGGAGCCCTAGCGGTTCCTGACTGGCTTGACCAGGCAGGACAGTGGGCTCTCTCCTTTCACATTTCACTATATGGACTTATCCTTGTGTGCCTTCTGAAGCTGCTTGCTTCACAGCTCCCTGGTCGATCCTCGCCTTTAAATTACGCCATAAGACTCCCATTTGCAGCTGCACCAACTCCAAGCCTTTCTGCAATCAAGGGTATTGGAACTTGCGACCCGTGTCTTGATTGGAGCCGGGCTACTGATCGCAAAGGGAGATTTCTACGTACCAGGCGAAGGCACAAAGGAGGACTTTCATTTGTCCATAGGGTTGGGGCTTGGTTTTTTGCTGTAAGCTTTTGCTCCTTCCCTATTCAGGTATGGGCTGCACCCAAGAGGACTCTGTCCTTACGCCAGCTGACGGGTCTCCGCTTGCCACTGCAGACGTCGGCTTTGCACCACCAGGGGGCCCGTTCCTTGCGGCAGCTCGGCCGGAGTGCTGGCCCACTCCTCTCTCACAACCTCATTTCCGGCCGCAAACCGTGGATGAGGCTTGTGCGGCCCGGATTGCGTACCCGACTCGTTTGTCTGAACATGGGGCCGATGGCAGGTGGCTAGGTCTGTCCTTGCTTGCACCGCATTATCAGACTGAGACATGGGCCGTACACATTCCAGTTGGAGGTGGTGTCACTGCCCTCAAAACTGCTGCGGAACGCCTTCTCTCTGATGCGTTTGAGGGAGCTTTCGATTGCGTCACGCCACTGTTACCGCAACGTCACTGTGGAAGCGCCCAATTCCTTGCCTACCCGAGCATTTTAGACACCACGGGTTCACCTGGCCTTGCGGTAGTGTTCGACTTGAGCAGAGTTGGGGGACACTACTTTGCTGCCATAGTTGCACGGAATCTAAGGGACCACGATTTGATCCCTTTCCTCCGGCCCCTAACTTACCATGACATTGCCGAATACATGATTTACATCGGCGAGTCCCGGGTCCCGAGCCCAGAAGGCGAGCCACTTGCGCTTTCCCATGGCACAGTTATAACTGTTCTCACTCGGCAGTGCCTTCCTGGGAGGGGTTACAGCCTTGATGAATTGTTCGAGCCCGAAGAACACTGGGATAGACTGCAGCATATCCCAAGGGCGCTATATACCCCAGGTCTATGTGTCCTCTCTGGAGAACACAGATTCCTACTCAGGCAGAATGACTTTGCAGGGAAGACTATACCAAAGGCTGTTGGTACGCTCATAGATAAGGACGAGGACACCTTTTCCATGAGCAGTTCCTTTGCATTCGGCAACCTACAAGTTCAGGGGCACCCCTGCGACCGCATTGTCGCTACAGCAAGCCTACTGCCCCCACAACGTCTCGGAGAAGGCATCAGGCGACGGGACGTATGGACTTTCTGCGACTATCGCCCCCTGGGGCATAAGCCAAAGTGTCACTTGTCACACGTCTGCCTAGTCCATGTCCCCTCTTTGCTTGCTATCGATGGGATCATAATTCCCCCTGACTATGATCTTTCCGTAGAAGGTGGCCGTTTGACTGGAGAAGAGGCTCAGGTTGGTGTCAATACCACCCTCGTTTTTCGGGCTAGACCTATGATCCTCTCAAGCTCCGAGAATCCTCAATCAGACAGCGGGTGTGAGCCTGGTGCTAATGATGGGTCCGCCCCACCGACGCCTGAGGACCGGCCTGACCATGAGGACGAGGACTCAGGAGATGCACGAGGACACTCAGGCCAAGGCGCGTCACGCCCACTTCACAGCCGGGCTAGCAGAAGCCGTTCACCCCATGGCCACAAAACTGTTGAGCATCAAAGTGAAAGAGCCTCCGGAACTGCTGTCGAGGATGAGACCTGCCATCCCCCGACAAGCCTGATGCATGGAATAGAGCTTGATGCCGATAGATTTGCCCAGGCAATATGTAGGCGGCCACTTGTCGCAAAGCAACCTGACATGCCGGGCGACACTGCACATCCGATTGAAGTTGATGCTGTAGAGGCCGCCCTGCCAAGGCTTGATACTCTCCTGCAGGATGATAATCGTCGGGATGGCCCGCGCTACCCCGTCGACCCGGCAGAACTCCTTAGGAGACGCGTGTGCCTACAAGACAATGAGGAGTCTCCCTTTGTCAATATGCTTTTCCTTGTCCTCACTCCAGGGCGTATTCCTGAGGCATACAACTTGCCTCTGCAGACACCGTGCAGTGTTGAGGCGGCCCTCCTCGCACTTGAACAGAGCAGAGACGAGGCCCCAGGTGTTAATTTCCCTGAGATCAGAGTTGCGGAGCCGCAACCCGCTCGTGAGTATGCAGTCTTTGTTGCTGCACCGTCATGGGCAATAGACCGCACTATCATAGTATGCGATGCCAGGAAGGTTAATGGAGCCCTCTTCTGTGCAGTGGCACCACCTCGTGCCAATAGGGAAACCATCTGTAACCTAGCTGGTTTCCAGCATGACTATACCTTGCAGGTTTATGTACAAGGAATGCCATGGGCCCTTGCTGCTTGGCAACAGGCTGATTTGAAAGTTGGTGATACAGTCACCTTCTTACCACCAGGACAGCCAGCACCCCGCCAGGTCATGATTGAGGAAATGCTATTCAGTGCCGAACATTGGAATGCACAAGCAGATGTTCCATCCCCGCCTGGGGAGCACTTCCATGTTCTTACTGATGGCATCCCAGCAAGACTCACCTTAGAGCGAGGTCAAAGAGGCAGGTACAGGGAAGCTCTTGCTGAGCAGCTCCAGTACCGGGAACAGAACATGACATTGCAATCTGCCAAGCGGCAGCTCCCTGATATTGAGGTTAGTGGGTTTCATGTCAAAGGGGTTGCGGTAGCCACTGAAGCAATCAGTCGTCTTCCGGTCCCGCCGGCTAGGCCTCAGCAACGGAAGTGGATTGTCATCTTTGACCTTAGAAACATACTTCTCCCTTTTTCCTGGAAGCTTTTGGAAGTGCCCACCATTTCTGTCCAGGACATCATTGATGCCTATGAGTCGCTACGGCCGGTTGGTTACATAGTAGCCGTTACTGGAGCACCCATAGAGAACCTCCCTGACGGGCCAGTTTTCAGGATTGTGTCAGGCCAGGTCCTTGTGGTGACTTTTGAGCCAGACTATCTTGAGGAAGACGATGATCCTGGTCACGGCAACTTTCATGATACGACTTTCCTTGACGCAGCACAAGGCAGTCCTGCTACAGGCCATACAAGTGAGGAGTATCAAGTCTCAGCAGCCACTTCTGAAGAGTCCAACGCAAGGATTGATGGCGATGTTGACTTGCCTGACTCAGCTGGAGTAGCCATCAGTCCTGCTGAGACCATAGAAATTGCCTGCACCATTCTAATTCCCGGTTTTTCCGCCGAGCACTTTGGCTTGACTATTGCCTTGCCAGCTGCTACAGCTCAGGTCATAGACAAAATAAATGACGTGAGAGATGAAATAACGGCGTGGGATTTTCCCCGCCTAGTTCCGATTGCCCCGCAGCTAGCTGAGGGTAGGCTTCTCCTCATTGCTTCCACTGAGTGGCCTCCTTTCGGCAATACAGTCTGTGTGCGGGTCTACTCCGATATCACTAGAATCTTTGCGATGCCAGCTCCCTCCAGTGCCAGCAAAGACATCCTTCTTGAAATGGCAAGGCTTTCCTTGCATGCCCCACTTGATGTGTTCTGTGATGGGCAGGGCCCCATCGCGCCTGATGAGGTTGTTGACATCCGCGACGGTAGCTGTGTCACAATTGTCATCCAAGGACAGCCGTGTCCTCGAAGTGCACCGCTTTCTGAGGTTCTGCTCACCTCCACATTCTGGGAGACTACGGCACCGTTCCCTGTTGAAGATGCCCAAGAGTGTTTTTGCCTTGCCTGTGCTGATGGTATGCGCATTTTTTCACTCTTTCCTCATCGAGCACATCTTTTTCGGGAGGATATAGCCTCTTTGCTGCAATGCTCAGGGGCCACTTTGCATCTTGCACCCGCGAGCCCTGCTCCAAGCGATGTCAACTTTTTTGGTCGACAATGCCGCAATGTTATTGCAGCCCTAAGTTTGGACAGCATTAGCATTGATGAACGTCCTGTAGTAGCTTTTGTTGATGCTAGACGCCTGCACAAGGGGTGGTTCCCAGTAGTCTCTATGACAGGATGGACCAAGCTTGCCGATCTGCTTGCGCACCTGCAGGAAGGCCTCCCTGCAGAATGGACAACAGTACTCCATGGAGGGGACTCCTCAAATGGGTGGCTACGCTTTGAGGAAGGACAGGTTTTGACTGCCAGGCCTAGCCGGGAAAGGCCGCAGGTAGAGGCTACTGATGACAATTCAGAGCAACATGATGCGTCTGGACCTCCCCGACCGGCTGATACCAGTAGCTCGCAGCGCACCGGAACAGCTGAGGGTCATCAGGGCACAGATGATGCAGCGAGCACCTCAGCGGAACCAAGCTCTGCTAATGCTGGCGGTGAACCTAGCCACCACACCGCAAGCCATGACTGTATTTCGGTAGCGGTTTTTTCTTTGGGGTATCGACCTGATAGGTTCGAAGTCGCCGCACACACCTCACTCGATGAGCTTGTGATAAACATAAGAGAAGGCAGGGACAAAGAGGCTTCCAGAATCTTCCCCTTTCTTGCCCCAGCTACGCCACAGCCGCCCGATGAGGGAGCGGTCTTTATTGCCTTGCCAAGATGGACTGCACCAGCCCCCATCGTGCTCTTCGATGCCAGAAGGTACGACGGGAGATTGTTTGTCGTACATGCGACTGATCTTATTGATCTTAGCGCCGCTCTGTTCCTTGCCGGAATTCCATATGTTGATGATGCCTTGGTTTACGATCTCTCAGGCCAACAGTTTCTACAGGATGGCCAGGACATTAGGCCCATTCCTGGTCAATGCTTTGTGATACTTAGAGAAGGCGATCCACTGCCGGGGCGGACCTTCATAGCGGCCAGATTACGTCCTGCCCCCACTGGTGTCGACAGCTTTCAGCCCCCTGCTCCCGATGGAGTTTGCTGTGTCACACATAAAGGTTTCTGCCTGATCAGAAGTGACCCTGACCACGTGCACAGCCCGGGGCCGGCCAAGATAGCTGAGACATGCGGATATGCAGGAGAAGATGTCAGCATACTCCCAGCGAGACCTCACATTGGTGATTGTCAGGTCTATGGACATCAATGTCACAATGTCCTAGCAGTAGCCAGACAGCAAGGTGATAACCTACACGCTGTAATTGACTGCAGACCTGTTATGCAAGGTTGGCGCTTGGTCTGTTTTCATGAAGTACCAGACTGGCAAGAACTCACAGAAGAGCTAGATGTCTTCACACCGCCTTCCTGGAAGCTGCACATCCAGCCCCACCGAGAGAGCTCCCGTAACGAAACAGTATCCTCTGGCCAAGTCTTTGTTGCGGAATACCTACCTGCCGGTCTGTGCACTTCGCATGAAAACCGCGAGCCTAAAAGTTCCATCGGGAACTCTGACAGCGCTGATGATACTGATCGCTCAGAGGGGTCAAGAGATAACATGCCAGGCGACCCAGGTGTAGGGTGTAGTCCTCTCAGTGATTGTGCAGGCTGTGGGGGCCCCCACACATCTGACGCTGAAACGCAAAGCGTCTCCGGTCGACCAATCAAAGAATGTGGTAGAGTTGAAATGTGGTTCTTGCCTTTACTTCGCCAAGCCATTCTTGATGGCAGGGCAAGAAGCACCCCTTTCCTCCTGCACTCGTTTAGAGTCGGCATAGTTGTCAGCATTATCCAGACACTTGTTCATAGACGCCTCCTTGTACTTGTGCTGCTTATGCACCTCCACTTGAATGGCGCGCTTGCAGTCAGACACTTTGGTGGAGATAGCGCTGCCAAACATCACTGGCGGTTTGAAGATTTGACCCTTGATGGCTCTACTGCCGTCAAAAAACCACGCCTATTGCCAACGCCATGCAGATCCACTGCACCCGTGCGTATCGCTCCAATTGAAGATTGGTTTGAGGCTATTGGACAACACTCCGATGACTTTCTTGAACTTTGGGCGCTCAATGATGGGCCCACACTACTTGAGCAGGCGCAACAGGATATGCAAGGTTCGCCTTATTTTGAGGCAGCTACACTCCTTGATACACTTGTTGACCACTTCGCCGCCGGAGCCATACTTCATAATGAAGAGGATGCAGCCCAGGACAGCATGCCACATGCTACAGCAAGTGTACAAGAGGAGCCACAGAGTGCCAATGTTCCTGCGCTCCCTGTACGCCTTGCTGAGCACATCCCTGCCTGTCTGACATATGACATAGCTGCCGTCCACATGCAATGTGGCCGGGCCCTCGATGAAGTTGTCCTCCCCTTCAACACCACGTGGCAGCTACCGAAAGAGCTCCCGCCCGGCCTTTCACTCCATGGCGCCACAACAACGGCACTTCGGGGTCATCTAAAGGATGCGCCTGCAGGGATTCCGCCTAACCGCTTTGATATTTATACTGATGGTTCCTTTGACGGGAGCAACAGTAGCTGGTCCTTTGTTGTTATAGCTGAGTGGCCACAAGGGTCTCAACTCTTTGGTTTTGCGAAAGGGCTAGTTCAACTTGCCGGGGAACCGCTTGCCATAGGGGCCACTGAACACTCAGCTACTAACGGTGAAAGGACAGCGATGTTCTGGGCGCTTGCTTGGTTGCTACAGAAGAACCTTCACGTGCCGGCCCACCTGTGGGGAGATTGTATAGCAGCCTTAGGCCAGGCTAGAGGCACCTGTCAAGTCCGAGAGGAGGATACCATAGCAAAAGCCTGTCGTGCCCTTGCAGCTGCAGCCGAGTCTGCAGGACAGATCCAGCCAGCGCTTTACAACCACATTAAAGCGCATACAGGCGACCCTTTCAACGAACTTGCAGATGTACTCGCAAAAGATAGGCATTCACCAGCTACTGCCATCCCCGCCGGGATCGCGTCTCTGACCAATTGGGTAACTAAAGACGACCTTGCATGGCTTTGGCTTCTTGTTGAAACTGTCCTTCGGCCGGAGCAGTGGCCGACATACCAGGGCCGTACTCTTCACGATCCCGGCTCCGATGCAGTCCCATGCATGTCCAAGCTGCAATCCGGGCTCACCGAGCACCCGGCAAGGCCCACCAGAAACTGGAGGACTACATACCAGGATGTCCTCCTTATACCAAAGATAGTTACTATCAATGTCCAGACCCTTGAAGAGGATTCCAATGCTGGCATACTTGGACGCGCCCCCTTCATCAGGGAACAATTAACAGGACTTGATATATGTATTGCTGGCCTGCAAGAAACACGGGCCAAACGTTCAGAGACAATAGTCTCGACAACACACATTCGATATTTGTCGCAGCAGGACCCCGGAGGCAACTACGGTGTAGAGCTGTGGCTGTCGCGTACTGTGCCCTTTGCGTGGCAAGGGGGCACACCCTGGTTCTTCACTCAGGATGATGTGAGGGTCCTTTTCGCGAGCCCACGCACCCTGATAGCAAAGTTTGCCCGCGGACAACTCAGGTTTTTCGTCGTAGTCATCTATGCTCCCACAGCCGCAGATCCGCAACGAGGCGGTTGGTGGAAGCAGCTGTATGATCGACTCACAGTCACCGCCAAAAATGAGCCAGTCATACTGCTAGGCGACTTCAATGCCAGGCTGCAAGACCCTTTGCATGGTAGAATAGGGGATCTAGTTTGGGAAACTGGGCCAGCACCGCCACGGGCCTTGTTTGACCTACTCGAAAGCCTCGACCTCTGGGTCCCCTCGACGTACCAGGCTATTCATAAGGGTAGTTCTGTTACCTGGATATCGCCCGGAAAAACAGCCTCATCACGTATAGATTTCGTTATGTTGCCAATAAGTTGGCAAACTGCACATGATGGATCATATGTCATCTGTGACATCGACTTTGGACAAAAAGGTGTTGACCATTTTGGTGTTGCTTTGGAAGTCTGTACCTGGCTTCGCCTCAAAGAGCACAGGCACAGCACAAAACCCCGTGTCGACACCAGCTGCCTCCAATTACCGGACTCAGCGTCCAGGCTTGATGCCATTTGTGAGGGGGCACCTCCATGCCAGTGGAGGACTGATGCCCATACGCATTATGCGACCCTTGCTGAGCATTATAGCACCGCTCTTGCTGCCCACTTTCCTATGAGAGCCAAGCCCAAGAAACGGTCCTACTTCAGCCCTACCACATGGGACCTACGACTCAGACGAGTCCAGCTAAGAAAGCATGTTAGCTGGGCGACTCGTTGCTGTGGGCAGACCGAGTCTCAGGCAGCCTTCACGGCGTGGAAATTTGCAGAAAGGTTTCTTCACCGACTGAGTTTTGCTGTTGCCGGAGCTCTAAGAGCCACTTTTGTGCTAAGCACTAGCGTCGATGACCTGCGCAAACTGCAGCCCGAACTCAGGAAGAGCATCAGACGCGACAGAAGTGATTACATAACACATGTTGCCAAGATCGCTGGGCAATCAGCCACTAAAGATGTAGTCCAAAAGCTCAGACCACTTCTTGGACCGCCAAAACGTAAAGTAAAAGGAGCCTTGGCGCTACCACTTGTTGAGCTTGAGGATGGCAATATAGCGCAGGATGTTGGACAGGCGGACCAACGCTGGCTCCGCCATTTTAGCTCGATAGAAGATGGTGCGCCGGTCACGGTTGACTCGCACATACAATCTTGTGTCAACAGACAGGCTGGGCATGACGTCGACTGCCTGCACCTCCAATGCGATGATGTCCCCAACCTCATTGACATCGAAAGAGGACTACGGGCCTCTCAGGGCGGAAAAGCCATTGGCAATGATGGAGTGCCGACGGACTTGCTCCACCTTCGAGCATCGTCCATTTCGAAGGACATCTTCAAGGTCTTCCTAAAGACCGCCTTCCGCCTGCAAGAGCCGATAGCATGGAAAGGCGGAACACTACACGCTATATGGAAAGGACGGGGGCGGCAGGCCGACTGCGCCAATTACCGAGCCATCCTAGTCAGTAGCGCTGTCGGAAAAGCGATACATGGAGCCTTCCGTAACAAATGTGCACCCATGCTGGATTGCGCCTGCACTCCCCTGCAGATAGGGGGTCGTAAAGGCCAACCCGTTCAGATAGCCACGCATGCCGTACGCTCTTTTCAGCAAGCATGCGTACGGAGGAAGCAGTCCTGTGCAGTGCTTTTCGTTGATTTGCGGGAAGCATTCCACCGCGTAGTCAGGCCTTTAATCCACGGAGGGCCGCTCAGTGACCATCATGTTGCCGGCATAGTCAAGGAGTTGGGTCTCGGACCGGACGCCATCCCACGCCTGCATGCCTACGTTCGAGCACAATCCCTGCTTGTAGATGCAGGTGCATCCCAGTGGACATCGCGGGTCATGCAAGAAATAGGAGAAGATGCGTGGTTTACGTTCGGGTCGACGGGTGCCTTCGCGCATGTGCGCGGAGGCACCCGCCCCGGAGACAATTTGGCGGACCTAGTGTTCACGTTTCTTTTCGCTGAAATTTCGAAACGGATTCGCGAACATCTCAGCCGGGCTGGGGTCTCCGCCGAGCTCCCCTGGAACCCAAGTTGGCTATGCAATGCAGAAGCCAGACCCACCGAGGCTACAGCTACGAGCTGCCCTGTCGACGTGACATGGATGGATGATCTGTCTGTGCTGCTGCACGCAAGTACCCCTCATGCCCTAATTGAGAGACTAAAGATAGCAGCGACTGCCACGCTCGACGAGTGCATACAGGCCGTCTTACTCCCGAATCTTCGGGCAGGAAAGACCGAAGCAGTCGTAACCCTTGTTGGGCATGGAGCTTTACGGCTGTCCAAAACTGTTTTTGCAGGCGCCGAGCCTTCTCTGCCTCTGGGGTCGATACTTTGGCCTGAGGCCCGCCTCCGATTGGCTGCCTCCTATAAACACTTAGGAGGAATATTACAGGTTGATGGCAGTCTAAAGAAAGAGGTCAAGGCACGCATAGGTTCTGCCTGGCAGGCTTTTAATAAGCACAAGAAGCTTATCTTTGGCTCGCCTATTGTGACGGCGCATGAGAAGTCAGTATTGTTTGCTTCGCTGATTGAGTCAACGCTCTATTACGGGAGTGGAACGTGGGCTGTGATTGGCAAAGACGAGCATTCCCGACTTCAGAACTGCCTAGTACAGATGTCCAGGCATATGTTGCGACCACTCTTTTCCTTTGATCAGGCCTGCCACTTGAGCCCTGCCTACGTGCTTTCTACTGCACGTGTGTCCAGTGCCGCCACTGCCCTGCATGTAGAGCGTCTCCGACACCTAAAGGCTGTTATCCTGAAGGCCACCCCTGAATTGTGGGCCATCTTACAATATGAACGAACCTGGCTCGGTCTGCTCGATGAGTCCCTGGTTTGGTTTCGCGCACAACACCACAGTGCAGGGTCTTGTCACCCAACCTGGACTACTTGGGTTGGCATTGTTGACTTTGTTAGGTCGAACCCCAACGGATGGAAAAGAGCTGTCAACAAGGCTAAACGCACTGCCATGCTCTCCGAACTGTGGTCCGCCGAAATGCAGCAGTTTCAGGGCCTAGCGTTCAGGGCCTTCATAACACTTGGGGCAGTTGTTCCGCGGGATTTAGTCGAGTTAGAGCATGGTAGAGAAGTTTGTGGCAAGTGCAGGCTTGTCTTTGACAGTTTGTGCTCATGGTCACACCATGCTTTTAAGAGGCATGGGCGCATTAAACCAGCGCGCCGACTCGTCTCTGGGACACAATGTCCGGTGTGTCTAAAGCAATATCGGTCGAACAGGGACCTCTGCAACCATGTTACGTATGGCCGCGCTTGCAGACATGCGCTCATTAATGCCGGCTTCGACGAAGCACCCGCGCCAGGAGTTGGCAACCGCAAATACGACGATGGCACACGATGTCTGCTGCCAGTTGTGCAAGCCCAGGGCCCTGGAAGCCAATGGGATTACTCCCCTGTTGTTGAGGAGCATGAGACCCCCTGCGACACCATCCTCAACGCCCTCGAAGATTGCTACTGCCATGATGAGGGAAGCGTCCGCAACCTTCAGCACTTATGGGCCTCATTTCGCTCGATATTTATGAGCCAGTGCCTCCAAACCTCCCGACTTCGGGCGACGGCCATCCAATGGCAGTTCCAAGTTTGCAATGAGATTGAGGCAGATAACAATGTCTCTGCACAATGGGCAGATTGGCACCTACAGGTTGCGAAACAACTAGTCGACACTGACTTTGTTGAATGGTTTAGTAGCGACTGCGATGGCCCAACACAGACTCCCTCGACATTCCGGGACGCTGAAACTCTCACTGCCTGGTTGGAATTCCCTGCGCAAGCAGTTGTGCCCGTCGCCGCGCCAAATATTCCCGGGGTGTGCTATGTCCCTGATGATGCTGTGTACAACTGGATTTCCCGCCCTTTCCGTGCCAGCATCTCCCACCGCACAGCCCAGCAAAGCCCAGAGAAGCTTGACTTTGAACAAGTCGCGAGAAGTCTTGGAGAGCTCGAGTTTGTCCTACTCTCCTGTGAAGGCCTTGTGCATACGTTCGGACCGCCCGTGCCTCTCCGGTCCTTCAGTTCGATTTCGGGCCCTATCTCCTCGCTTCGTCTTTTCTCTGACCTGCTCCGGGGCGCCTTGTATCTCTGGCGCGGTGGCACCCCTGCCTGTCTGATACTGCCTGAGATCTCAAGCCCAACTACTGAGGTCGTACGAAAGCTTGCACCTTCTGCTAAAACAGTAGGGGGTGTAGCTGTCTTTGCAAATTTTGCATTCGGACAGGGGGATTTTCGTTTCACCTTTTCTTAATTAGCACGCACGCCACAGGGCTGCGTCCAACAGGACACTACGCCACGAAAAGCGAAAAGCGATATATATATCCCTGTCCTTCCACCACCATACTTTCCGCGGGGGCTCAGAGCCACCGTCATTTACTCATGAAAAACCGTAGATTGCTGGGAAATTTAGAGCAGTTCTTCGGAGAAGCCTTGAAGGCCGCTTGGAGGGTTAAAAAAGGCTGAAGAGAGACCTGCATGGAAGCAGATATACAACTTCGAGGACATAGTTTAAACCACAGAATACCTCCCAATTGTCTTCCGTATCAAGCAAAACACGACACATATTTGGATGCTTCATTCGCTGCAATGGTATGCAGAAAGCACTGTCGGCGAGTGCCCCGCCAGCTTTATAAATCCCGTTAGCTTCTCCTCAAAAATCCCTTCCGCAGGTACTTTGCATGACTTCGATCCTCGCGAATGTGCTGGTGGTAACCCTGCCTATTGCAAGTTGCTTGCTGATTGCATTGCTGGCACTATCGTTTCATTCCGAATGCCAAATACTGCTCACAGGCTTTATGTTCGAAGGCGGCTCTGGGGTCTAGCCTGCTTCTATAGGGGCCGAGGTTTCAAGAAATTTCAACAGCACTCGGCTTTTTTCTTCTACGAACAGCACAGTGCCAGCCATGGGCCGGGTGAAGCCAGATCCTGTGCGAGCGAAACTCTTGCAGGCTCCCAATTAAAGGGTTTAGGGTTATAGGGTTTAGGGTTTAAATTATTTGATTCGGAGGTCAAGTAATACACACATCCATGTGTACATGTATACATATATGCATGACATGGACATCCATGTGTGCATGCAGGAGTTCTACGAGCATTTCCTGGAGAAAAAGGACTGGAAGATGACTCGGACGACGGAGCTTATTAACAGGTCTAATCTTTCAAAAGAGAAGATCGAACGTGCACTGCAGCAGGGTGTGGTGAGCCCTGCTTGTTTGGGCAGATGGGTTAGTGAATTGTAGCTAGCCAGTGGCAGCTTCTGGCAGGTTCCCATCAATTTCACATTCGTGAACGTTTTCCGGGGTGTGATCTCGGTGGCAGAGGCCATTTGGCAGCATATGAATCACAGGACAATATCTAGTCATAGTCGGTTCTTCAGTCCAGCCAGGTTGAGGATGAGTGGAACTTTTGCTTCGCAGCCAAGTGGCTGTCTGTTTTCGGTTTGAAGACACCGACGAGCCTGGAAGCACAGCTGGCTCTTCTATCGGTGGGCAAAGATTTCAATCTCCTTGGATCAAAGGCTTCGAAACAGAAGCTCGAGGCCTGAAGCCTCAAGCTGCATGGTAGAGAACACAGCCACACATCTTGAGAGCGAAGTTGATCATGATTGCTTTCTTGGCAGGGCTGGGCTCGCACGGAAGGCGACCTCCAACGATCATTGATAAGCTATGTTATGGACCGCTCCCGTCGCAACGAGGGCATCAGGCACGCACACATTCGCAGCATGATCAGCAGGACTCGTCATTTGCATATCCCGGCTCTGTGCTAGGGCCGGGCATGACAATATGGCCAAGTTGAAATGGGTGGTGGGCTTTCTTCGCTCGGAGCAGAAGAAGGCTAGGGGTATAGCTGCTTAAAGAAGATGCTGCAGTGTAGGCTCTTTGCCGGTGTTTGCAAATGAATGACAAGGAAAACTCCCGCGACCCTTCCCGGCAGAACACCGTCACGGAGGGGCTGGATCGTGAAGTTGAGGTGTTCCAGGCCCAGCTTCAGGAGGAAGAAGGCGAGGAAGAAGAGATAAGCCCGGATGATGACGACCCGCTAGCCGATCCCGAAATTTTTCGGGCTGAGTGCACCCCGCACAAGGAGAAGGCTAGGAAGGAGGATTTCGAGGAGGATGCAGAGCCGCTGCAGGGCCAGGATTTGGAGGGTGGTGCAAAGCCACTTCAGGATGGGAGCCAGGATGTGGTGGGTGATGCAAAGCCACTTCAGGATCGGAGCCGTGATGTGGTGGGTGATGCAAAGCCACGTCAGGATCGGAGCCGTGATGTGGTGGGTGATGCAAAGCCATGTCAGGATCGGGACCAGGATGCAAAGGATGAGCAGATGGAGGTTGAGGTGGAAGAGGCAGATGAGAGTGCCAAGGGCCATGATGCCATGAAGGCCCCGGTTCAAGTGTTGTTGCGAGTACTACATCATCTATATTCATCAATGCATTCTCGTGATAATTGATTTCCACGATAAGTTTTTTGCTCAGGAGCATCGTGGCCTGAAGGTCCCGTCCAAGCCGGTTCCTGCCACCTTGGCGAAGGCTGCTGAAGAGCTTGCGAGCCAGATCGAGGGTGAAGCTGAGGAGGGGCTTCTGCAGGCCATCCGGATGATTTGTTATTGGGATGTTGCGAGCTTTATTCGATTCTGTTGCCGACGGCCAGGCCCAAGCCAAAATTCGGAAGGCCGCTCGAATCAAGCTGGATCCGGAAGACGAGCCTCCGAAAAAGCGAGGCCGAGGTAGGGGAAGAGGGGGTCGAGGCCGGGGACGGGCCAGCAAGGAGGTTCCGGAGCCGGTCGACGGCGATGTTGAGGCAGAGGATGAACTGTTGGAGCAACAGGTGAATTTCGAGAAGGAGGAAGTATCAGAAGCAAAACCAAAAACTAAAGCAAAGGCAAAAGCCAAGGCCAAGAGCAAAGGAGCAGCCAAAGCTAAGGGACAAGCAAAAAACGCAGAGAGCACGGCCGAACCAGCGACTTGGCATGTGTATATCAGACACACACATGCTGCATGTGTGTGTGTGTGTACACGTGTGTGTGTGTACCGTGCGACTACTTTCAAAGTCTTTAGGCCGCCGAAGCCGGCACGCAGCCGGAAATCCCTGCCTCGCAGCCTGGTGGCGATGACCAAGTCCGAGCTAAGGCTAGCTTATTAGAGATCTAGATGTATCTATAATAATAATAATAATGACTCGAAATGGTATAGCCTGGCACAGGTGATCGACAAGATGACCGACTACCAGAAGGACCCTTGCTCTGCAGTCGTACAGTTTCAACAAATTAAACCGTCATCCGGTTCTTTAGGACGTCCGCCGACGACACATAGTGGCCCTGCGAAAGATTGCGATGAAAGATCCCCGAATGCGAGTTCCCGCAGACGATGAGCTTGACACGACGTCGTGGCTCAGCTCTTAAATAATAAGCAATAATAAATCCCCATGGTCTCCGCTCGCAACCCTGCCGCCCAGGTCCTTCACCCTTCGCCTCGACGCCGAGAAGTTCATCGGAGCCTCTGCTTGGGCCACGAACACGGCCATCGGAGTTTTGTGCTTTGGTTGAAGACGAATGTCTATGCATCTTCCATAGTCAACTCTCGGTACATCACTGAACCCTAAACCCTAAACCCTAAACCCTAAACCCTAAACCCTAAACCCTAAACCCTAAAGCAATGCAAGGATCCAGCATGGGACGTTCTATGTTACGTATACTGGGGTCGCCGCGACAGAGAAAGAGAAGTTCAAGAAGTTCGTCATGGAGTGCAATGATAAATGGGACACCGAACTGAAAGTCTTCTGGTTGCATGGCATTGTATGGCTCAACATATGCTCACTTCGATGGGTGTTCGATCTAATTCACATGAAGTTCTTTGTGTCCTGCATGCAGGTAAACCAGAAGAGCGGCTGCAATGTCACGTGGAGCAAAGTGGGTGGCTTCAGATCAGCGACCGAACCTTAACTATTGTCTCAAAAATGATCAAACAAACCTTTCCCCGCCCCTACCCCATTCCTATGCTGCCCAGGTGGACATACGCCTGCATCCTCGCCTGCTGGGACCCGGTGACGAAGCAGCTCGAGGAGTAGAGGCCGGTCCTCCGATTCACGCCAGCATCGGGTTCTTGATGTCATCTCTTTCTAGATCTCTCGGGTTTCGGATTTCCATATTTGATTACAGCTTGCCACAGTGCTGCAATTGGAGCTTCTAGCTATAGGAGATGTGAAGCCATGGTTGTATGGACTTGGGGCCTTTATCATGGTAAGTCCTAATTCGCCGCCCTTGGAAACACCTTGGGAATTGGGGCTTGAACCCCACCTCTCAACTTAAGCCCCCGAAGCAGCTCTGAAACCCAAGCCAGCAGGGTCCGAACCAGTCGTAGCATCATCGCAGGCAGTGGCTGCAGTCGGTGCCGAGCGGTGCAGCAAGGCAGCCTCGGGTGGGCCGTCGCGGTTTACAACTTAAGGTGTCGGCTGCCAGGCTTTGAGCGGCTTAGCCAAGAGGGCCGGGTCGGTGCTCGTAGGGCTACACTACAAACCTCCTAGTACACTAATATCTGTTCTAATGCAACCTAATCCCGCCATCCAGGAGCTGCGAGCAATGCCGGCAACGAGGCATCTCTGGGTTCGTGGTCATAACTATTATTATAATTAGGGTTTAGAGTTTAGGGGTTTTGGGCGAGAAGGACGGGTGTTCGTGGCTAGGGCTCTAGGACTGAAGGTTTGCGGATTTATGTATACGGTGCTTAGGTATCTAATACCTGAAAACTTTGACCGCTAAAGCCTCGAGCCTTGCCGGCCTAAACCCTAAAGCCTAAACCCTAGACTTTGCCAGGCTTGTCCGAGCCTGACCTGAGTGTCAAAACCCTTAAACCCGAAACCCTAAACCATAAACTATATCGAATATCACGATATATATATATATATATAATTAATATAAATATTATATATATATATATATGACTGGCCACATTTTCCTCTACTACTACTACTACTACTACTACAACGACGACGACGACGACGACGACGATTATACGACTACTACTACTACTACTAC